CTTTGTCACAGCTATTTATCTGACATGACTGTATATTATGTCTATTATTTTCACATTATGTTTTTATAACATATCTATAAAATTATTATAATACATTTTATGTTATATTTATAGATACCATTATATGTCTAATTATAGTTATTTATTAGATGGAGGCTCTTCTGATGCCTGGAACTCAGGCTTCATATCTCTAAAGCCTGGCACATAGTAGGCACTCAATAAACTCTTGTTAATTAGAAGTCTGTTAGTCATCACCTGTTAAGTCATTTTCTGCTACTACTTACATAATGACTTTAGTAACTTTAACGTGAAGAAGTGCAGTTGGTTAAGCTTTCATTAGAAAAAAAGTCCAAAGGAAACACGACTTAAGCTCTATTATAAAAGCTTATTCTTAGCTATCATATTTGAAACTCTGCAAACCTGACACTACTTTAGATTTCCTAAATCCTGTGAGTCATGTGAGGATTTGGGTTTAGTTTTTCTCCTGGAGAACAGGGGTTATTATTTTTGTTCATTCTCTTGCTTCTCATAATGCCCAGCTATGTCCATGGTGTGTGATGGTCAGAGTCAAAGGGCTCAGGGAAGGGCTGAAATTATTCAGATGATATGGGGAGGACTGGGGGCCCTGCCCCTCCCAAATGGAATTCTCAACTGGGTTATCTAGAAAGTCATCTCATTTCTCTACTTTGCCATTCAACTTTCGGTCTCTGGATGCTTGGTAAATACCACTACAGGAACGGTGCTGTGGGATGGCTTCCTGACCTTCGCCCCTCGCTGCTGGCAAAGGTCTGCAGAGGAGGCTGACGGAGCTGGGGGCTGTGACCCCAACTCCAGGGACAGAAGCTGGCTTACTCAGGCCCTCAGGGCACGTTTGTTGAATGATTCAATGTGGAAATGTTAGGGCTGAGAGACGTTTACCATCTAAATCTAAGATGAAGTTTTATGCATAACCAGAATTTTATTTTTCACACCCCATAGGGTAATCTATTATATATCTATTTAACAAGGATTTACTGCACTTAGACCTTTCATGCTAAATGAACTGACCACAGAGTTTTGCTAAGAGCTCCTATACCATCTGAAAGCCATAAAAAAAAAAAAAAAAAGAATCCCAGTCGACTTTATAGAAACTGCAACTCATAGCTATTTGAGGATCCAAGGCGGTACAGAAACTCTTCAATTTGCAAGAGAGGAAAGGGAAAGGGACCAGCTCATCTCAATCGTGTATCTCTGCCAGATCCTGGTACCCCCAGGCAGGTGCTTAAAGCTCAGCCCCCTGACCTCCCAGATGCCCAGAACTCCCCTCGGATCCCTCCTGTGGGACTTGGACCTGGTTTGAGAAACTCTGACCTTTGCTAGCCACCAGGCAAAACTAGCCACTCGTTTCTTCACCCACTCAGAGTATTTTCTATGGACTGTGTTCCTGGCACTTTTCACGCTGCATTTATTTAGTTGGGAGTCTGTGTTTCTCACCAGAAGGTGTACTCTTGCATCCAGAGTGCCAAACGCCCAGCAAGTGCCTGACAGTTTTCTCAGAATAAAGAAAACACTAAGTGAGGTGCTCTGGTTCAGCGTGCTCGCCTTCTCCTAACAGGACCTGTGCCGGCTCGGGGAGCGGAGACCCCTGCCTGACTCAGTGTTGACAGCATCCTCCGTGCGGAAGGAGTTTAAGGTCAGGCTTAGATGAGACACACACGTGAACCCAGTCACACAAAGCGGGGGACGCTAAGTGCCGTAAGCGGGCACAGACCATGACACGGGGCACCTGGTGCGTGAGGGATGAAGGCGATGTGGTCGGGGGTAGGCAGGACAGCATTTCATCAGGGCCTTGGAGGAGGTAGGATTTAGGAGCCAAAGGTGCAGTCACTGTTTCTGGCATCTGCTGTGACTCCTAAAACAAAGTGTCTGGAGGTTTCTGTGGAGCCAGGAGACTCCCTATGGGATGGTGACCGTGTTCTGATTTCTGAGCTGCTCCCCCAGTACAGACGCTGTCAGCGCTTTCTGCTGTGCTTTCTGCTGCCAGTTATTGTCATTTTGGAGTGTTCCTTCCAGATCGGGGAGCACCAACTCGCCTGGTTACGTGCCCCTTCCACAGGAGTCAGGTTTACACGCTGAGGCAGCAGCCAGCAGCGGAGCAGGAGCCAAGGTGACTGGCCTGCCCCGCCTGCCCCTCACACCCTTTCTTTCAGGCAGATTTCTTAGCTGGTTGCCAGTGAGCACTAAGGCCGTGTCTACCAGGTGCCACGCAGCAACAGACCAATTCCTTGAAAAACAAAAACAAGAACAAAAAAACGAGGGGAGCTTTACTTCCTGAGACATGAAAAAAAGATACCAGGGTAACTAATGGCAAACTCCTAGTATGAAACCTTTTTATCTCCTCCATTTGACAAATATAATCACGGTGGATTAGTGCTGTGTAATGATCCACAACTTTGCACTTATATTTAAAAACGGGTTAAAACTCTTTCCTTAATTGTATCCTTGAGGCTCTTCTTTTTGTTTACCGTCTAGTCTAAATGAGCTCTCTCTGCTCACTGATGATCGCTGTGAGAGAAACCACCACTGTCCCAAGTGAGGATCATACTGAAGGCTAGACTTCCTTCGACAGAACTACTCTTGGCTCCTCGAGCTAGGACAGACAGCGAACACACTAATTTATAGATTCTATTGATTACTGAAGTAATATGATCTTCAAATGAAGACATCCAAAGTCTGGGGCAGGATTTATGACACTTAGAGTCATCGCTGTACAAGTCAAGGGTCTGAATCCCTGCTATAAATTTGGATTTTCACATATGTCTTGCCTGTTTTCAGTCCATCAGCCACTGAACACAATACTGTCTCCAGTGCTGAACTTCCCTTATCTGGTGGCGTTACACCTTACACTGAGTGACGTTCTGAAGGCAAAATCTGCACGTCCTCGTGAGGACATTAACTATTGTCTTTCTCTCTGCATTTCAACTGCAGTCTCCCTCTGCTTAGAAGTAGTTGGGGTTAAGATCTAGTTTGGCTGGGGGAATCCCAAACCAGGTAAATTAAAAGATTCTCCCTTAGGTCTCTCTGAGCCTATCATGAGACTCCCCTGTATAATCTAAAGTAAGATATGTAAGACAGTTTCAAGGAGATCATAACAAATTAATCACACAGGGAACAACCTGACATTGCCTATTTTATATAAGGTTTTATCAATAGCAAATTACAGTAAGACATGTAAAAAGCTATGTGTGGTCATCAATTAAGAGTAAAAAGAAATGCATGAATATTCATATTGGGTATTAGCCCCAGATTTTCAATTGCAAATTAATTAATTATACAAACTAGTTCCTATACTTGACTTGCTAGCTAGGGTGCGTTTCAGACTGGCTCAAGACTGAAACTTAGAAGAAAATTATGGAAGAAAAGGCAGGATTCTGTCGAGTAAGACTAATTGATTTTGGACTGAAAATCCAAAATTTATAAGAATGTTTAAAATCTGTGAATTCAGTCTTTCTGTTCATAATACTTGCACATACAATGATCCTATATTCTCATTTAGTATTTATTTTGCAGTATACCAGATGCACATCTAGGAAAATGAGCTTTAGTTTGTGAAATTTTAAAAAACACAAAACCCCTTCATAACTGATTTTATTTTGCTCACAAATGTGATCTGCTTCTGTTTGAGAAAAACTGTAGCTACTTCCAATAACTCAAGTCTGTTTCAGGTAGATTTAGCAAGTATTACTGTTACCACTTATTAAATGCTGTGCCAAGATCATGGCCAATGGGCTGAGCGGCCCCAAGAACCCACTGGATTGAAAGATGGGCCTGATCTAGTTCGTCCAGCTGGCACAGCTGTTTCCAGCTCAGAACAGCGTGGCCTGGGGACATGGCAGAGCTGAGAACCACAGCCTTGATGGGCAGAGGTCCACGGTGGTCCCTTGGATGTTCTGCAGCAAGTTAAAAATGCTCAGACAAGGGATCCACCCAAAAACGCATTATGTAATCTCTAGACTGGCATATATTGAACGTTGAATAGGATAATAATTACAAGAAGTCATTAAAGAGCCAATCTTTCATCGACTTCTATCTGACAGAAATTTCGGCAGAACTAAGAATTTAATGTTAGACGAGACACTACAATCTGGCTCCTTGGAAGTGTCTTCATGCGCTTGTGTGGTGAGACACTGCAAAGTCTCTCAGAGATGGTTTCAGCTTCTTCCCGTCTCAGGTGGCAACTTAAAGACTCTTGAGGACTTGGGCTTGATTTATGCTAAAGAT